CAACAAAAAACAAAACAAGGTAGTTAAGAGAGTACCTCATTATCTCAAAAACTCTACAGACACGAATATAAGGCAATTCTTGCTTCACTGAGGCATAATTTGATGATGAGGGGGGTGAGCCTCGTATGTGTATTTGACCACACAGCATGTTTATGGAAATATCTGCTAAGACATTACCATATATTTCTGCAACTTATCAACTGCGTATCTCTTTTACATTCAGATCACCGAGAGGCAATATTTTTGGAATACGTAATGATAATATGAATATATGAATAAGATTCAGTCGGGAAGTGTAAGAAGATATACACGTATCAAGTGACTAATTTACAAAGTTAAGAATCAGTAGAGCATACTTTGGGAAGAATACCCCATATTTCTTTAGGTAAAAGGAAAACAATACTGTATGCTCATTTCTGACCGGAATTCTAATTTTTAATTCATGCTTGGCTAGGTTTAATACTAGAAGTGCGATACATCTTTTCTTTTTTTCCAGAGTTACTGAGGTAGAGTTGACAAAACTGTATATATTTAAGGTGTACAATGTGATGATTTGGTATATGTACATACTATGAAATGATGACTGCAATCACTTCAGTTAACACATCTATCACCTCACCTAGTTACCTTTTGCATGTTTTTATGCGTGTGTATGTATGTGGTGAGAACTCTAAGATTTACTCTTTTAGCAAATTTCAAGTACACAATCCAGGATCGTTGATTATAGTCACCATGCGGCCACATACCTTTTCTTTTAAGAGGACCAAGAACACTGGGCTTAATGCACTTGACTGGACTCTGACTCCTCCTGCTTTGATGAATAAACAAACAGGATGACATGAAGTACTTCCAAGATGCAAGATAGATAGCATTACAGCCCAACAAATAAATGAAATTGATAGTCATACGGGGGAAATGGAGAATTCTTATGTAACTGACTAACTGAAATGCCAATACATGATTTGACCTGGCATATGGCAATCTGGAATAACATGGCATTTTAAGCCATTTAAAAAGATCATTCTATAAGACAAAATACCCACAAGAGTTTATAGAAAAATATACCTTATTAAAAAGTTATTTGGATTTTGACCAGTCTAGGATATTAAAACATTTTTTCCTTATCCTTAAAAAGGATATATTATCATGTATGCATGCCTCTGGGTGTATAGGTCCCTTCTGAATATAAATCAGCACTAAGTCTAACAAAAAAGAATCTGGTAAAATGTTAATAGAATATAAGCGGTGGGTATATGGGTGTTCACTATGAAATTCTTTACAATTTTGCTGTATGTTTAAAATTTTTCATAGTGAAATACTAGGTAAAAAGTTAATCTAAGAGACAAATGTAACGAGTGACCCTTCAACCGTATTTAAAATTGAAGTTTTCTTACCTTGAAAATTGTCTTGGACTAGAACCCGGGCTGGATGGCAACCCACTGCTGCTCACAAGTGTTTGCAAGGATGGTGAAAAGCATTGCTAGAAAAAACATTTTAACATTAAAATGGTTCTAGGGCTCCAGTTTTCAAAATGTTCTCTTCGCAATGACAGAAGCAACATCTTTAGAATTGCTTAGCTATGTGTGTTACATATATATGTTTTTTTCTCAAATCATATATTTCCACTGATTTCCCCTCAAGTCACTAGGTCCTTTAAAAGTGAGATGCTTTGTGTGTATGTATTTTCAAGAGTAAACAGCTCAGTGTGTGAAAGAGAATTAACATCTTGTCAATCATCCTACCTTTCCAAGTCCTCTGGTGGGTGAAGGGGCCGGAGAAACTGGAGTGAAGTCAATTCTCTTAGGAGAATACAATTTCTCCGGCTTCTCAAAATCACTATCGCTCTGTAAACATAAAGTGTCATCTCTTCACAACAAACTCAGCGCATCACAGCTCCTATTTACTACTGCAACACACCTACATTTTTCAAGTAAAATGTATAGAATATGATATTCTTCCAGAAAAGCAGAGATCAAAAAATGAGTATCCATTTGGAAGCAGAAGGGACAGAAGGGTGAAAAAGTTAATAAAGCCAGTGAACAACATGAAGGTTTCTAGAAAATAAAAACCAAGCAGACGTGGGCAAACTTTACCAGGCTCAAGCTCTCATCCCAAGATTGGCTTATCTGCATTGCCGTTTGCAGTTCCCTAAAACAAAATTAAAGGCCATCAGTGTTCCCAAATAAGACATATATTAGGCTAGGGCCCAGGGATGTCCAACCTGTGGCCCATGGGCCACATGCAGATTATTTGAGGAATGTTTTGCTTATCTGTGGTGTCAGATATCACAAAGTGTGCATGGACCTTTTCTTTTCCTCATCAGCACTAACCTTTCATGCGCAGTTTCCCTGTTCATCAGATCCAGGCCTTCTTCCTGCAAAAATAAACGCATATACTAAAGACATAATTTTTATTTTTTTAAAATTAGCCCAGATTTAGCAATAAAGACGTAATCTTTATCCACAGAGTTTTCTATTTCAAACAAAATAAAAAGACTTTTCTGGGTGGTGCCTCTGGCTCAAGGAGTAGGGTGCCAGCCCCATATACCAGGGGTGGTGGGTTCAGGCGTGGCCCTGGCCAAAAAACTGAAAAAATAAAATAAAATAAAAAGACTTTTCTACCTCATCTGACATAATCAAACTAGAGCAGAACTAACATTCTAAGATAATCACCCATGCCACATCTATATTTTATCCGCACACTTAGAAGAACTGTAATTTGTCTCAAACTAACTAGAGCTGCATCCTAACTCTTTTTAATAACTAAATCTTCAAAAATAAAAATAAAATAAAAATGTAAAATCCAAAAAAACTTCCCATCTAAGCTAGTAAGTAAAATTTACCCTTTTGATTTGTTGCAGTCTGCTACTAGGAATACGATTAGGTGAGGATGACAGCAACTGCAAAGAAAAAGTAAACATTTACTATTTTCTGAATCACAAAGCAGCAGTCTGCTGTCAGTACTGGTGTACAACCTCTTTCTAGATAATTTTTCATATTCTTCTTAGAAATTTAGCTTTTTAAATCACTGAACATTAATGCACTAGAGGCAGTACATTCAGTCTTTAGAAAGTACACCAGGTGTCCAACCTCAAAGCACCATCTGTCGCTAGACAGACACTGACTTTAGCACTTTTCCCAAATGAATGCAAAGCTGCGTAAATTTAGGGAATAAAAGACTCTGGGCCTTGGAAATATCCTTATCCCACTTCAGTAAAATAAGGGACTATATGAGACAGGAAAGAAAAAAACCACCAATGTTATTAATTTTTATTACCAATGCACCAATGGAGGAAGACAGGCTAATAAGCTTAGTATAATATTTTGTCTGTGATTAACGTCTATAGAAAGCACTTCAAAATTGCAATAAGGAGATTTTGCTGACGTGATCTAAATCAATTCTGTAATTTCATCACTAATGCTATTGCCACAAACCTTACTAGTTAAAGAAAAATCAATGTGGAAAGGCAAGGTGTATCTTTAAAATAACTGATGCTTTCCCTTAGATCATCATTTTTTTAAATTTCAAAATACTAAATCCTTATTTTTTAATAGCACGAAACAGAAATGATTGGGGAGCCACATTATGTTTCTTTGTAATAATCATAATCGGGTCACAAACTGTAAGATACAATTCATATCAACAGATCTTACAGAGCTCTAATAGCCATAATATAAACAGCTACTATTTATTCCCTAATGAAATGCAAACGAACTTGTAACACTATCAAATCAAATAAGACAATTACCCTGTTTAAGAGGCGCCATGCTATGAAGACTTTTTTGAATACTAATGTATTCAGGATAAAACGGTGATAAAATGGTGTTAAGTTTTTTTTTAAGGCAAAAGACAATTCAGGTAAAATTTTCCAAAGTTATCCACTGTACTACGATTTTACCTCAAAAGATATCCCTTCTTTATCTACCCCTTTCTTCTTCTTCCTCTCCCAGGCTTTGAAAAGAGAAAAACTTTACCAGTAAAATCCATTTACAAAGTTTTTTTTTTTTTCCATTGTGAAAATAATATGTGTTTATTGGTGAATTCTGCATAAGGTCATTTGAAAAACACTACCCTAGGAGGCAGAGAAGTGTGGCAGGAAATGTGGACGGGAGCATGGATGAGTCAGTTGGAGAACCAAAGAGACCCCAGAGGCAGTGAAATTATCAGGAAAGCCAGCGTCAAGACGGACAAAAACTGGGGAGAAAATAAGAAATTTAGATGCAACATCTATGTAATATACAACTTGACAATTTTAAACAAAACTGGAAAGTAGACCAGATAGGAACACAGAGCAGCAAAGCTGTGTCTAGTATCAGAAAAAAGAGAGTAATCTATAGAAGGGAGGCAAGCACGACGCTGGCTAAAGGGGTTAAGTAATGCAAACACTGCAAGGGGGAAAGAAATGAAGCCCCTGACATCGGCAGCCAAGAGGGAACTGGGAATTTTCTAAGAGCAGTTTTTTAATAACGGAGTTGTGGTAGAAGTATTGAGATTACAAGCCAGCCAGAAATGAGAGGACCAGGAATTAGAGGCAGTGGCCCGTGGGTTATGCTTTGAAAAAGTATGAAAGAAGGGAGGAGAGACCTATGAAAAAGGAAACAGTTTGTTACCTTGTATCAGATGTGTGAGCCGGGAGAAGGCGGAAGGAAAAGAGCCGGAAAAGACGGGAGTAAAGACATAAGACAGAGGAGATAATAGACTGAGCAAAGTGACAAGAGAGTCAAAAGCTTTTATGAACCATTAGGGAGAAACGCCACATGTGAAGAAGGTAAAGACACTTCAAGGCTCTGCTCAAAGTGAAAAGTGGTGATGCAGGAAGCTGGCAGTGACAAAAAAAAAAAATTAGAATATTGCTCTGGAGAACAGCATGAGGCCAACGTGCCCCAGAAGGATCCATCTTTTCCTTCAAATTACCGATCCTCTCAATTCTGTTTTCCTAATCAAGGCACCACCATTCCCCTCGTCTTGTCACCAAAAAACAGAATTAGTCACTCGGCGTCGTCCTTCTTCCAACCCTTTTATCTATCTAATCCACTGGTGACCATGAAGATCCTACTTCTATGCCCCTCTTTCCTAGAACCCCCCCCCTTTCCATTTCAATCACTGACACCTTACTCTTTGTAAGTTACCTTGGGACTCAGATAAGTGTATTAAGATTTATAGAGCATACTTTGATATAATGTACACAGTGTAATTAATTTTACGATAGTTGTGGAAGGCTGCGCAGAGGAGATATAAGGATTACACTCAGTTTTCAAGGACCAGAAAGCTAGAAGGGAGAGGGGGATGGGATGAAGGCTAGCACAGAGATCAACAAAGAGCAGTGAATCACCACCATGGCCCCTTCAGAAATGAGGTATTTCAGCATAGCAGAGCAAAGGGCATTTGTCAGGGAATAGCGAGAGATGAGCCTAGACCTGAGTTGATAAGAATCTTCATATCTTACAAAAGAGGTAAGTGAAGTGTAAAGAGGCAAATTCATTTTCCCGTCTTTGCTGTGCTACTGTTATCAGCTGTATAACACCTATAAACATTTTTCATATGTCCAGCAAAAATAAGTAATATTTTTCAGTATCTTCAGGGAAGGAGGTGAAGTGAATCAAACCTCCAGACAGCTAACATTTCTCCCTTTAAGTATATTTTGCCACTTTAGCTGGAAATCTTTCTAAAATGTATTATATTTCCCTTTCTCAAACAGATTATACTGAAGAATGACACTGGAAGGTCTCTATTCTAATCTCAGCTCTGCCACTTAATAATTGTGTGATTCTGAGCAAGTCACGTAGATGGTCTGAGTCTCAGCTGCTGTTTCTTTTAATTGGGAAAAATATCTCTTTTGCCCTGCCTACCTCATAGGGGTTATTATGAGAATTAAATGTGTAAAAGTATTTTGTAACATGTAAAATACAAGTGTAGGGTATTACTAGAATTTAAGAAAAACTTAACGACCCTGGTATAAATTATTAGGACAAAAATTATTATCTGGTTCTATACCAGTGACATCCTCAGGGTTATGTTAACAGACTCTTAGCCATTATACTGAGCCACAAACCAATTTTTTAAAAACCTCTGTCTGCTTTACAGTTTTTTCCCCTCTTTTCCCTCGCTAGCAGCTCTTAGTATACCTTCCACCCAAATGTACCTCTTCTGATTTGCTGCTTCTCACACATTATTGGGCTGGAAGCTTATTCTAATTGTGCATAAATTTTAGATGATTCAGAGATCAGAGAGGCTCTCCTATAAATAAACTGATGAACCTTTGTGCACAGACTATGGAAATCTAGTTCAGCCATTTAGAGGTCTGTTTGCTTACATCCCATGTCTTCCAGAGAATTGAAGCTGCTGGATGTGGGAGCTCTGTAGGCGAACTGACACTGTATAAAAACTTCCTTGTAATTTTCCCCAATGCAACCAACTAGTAAAGTGATCCTCTACAGCTCTGACGATCAACTAACTTGTCTGAGAATATAAATATAAGGATTTTAAAGGAGTCTTTACTTTGGAAAATCAGCATTGTTTATAATAGACAAAGGTCAGAAACAAACACTCTGCTATTGTTGAAATGATTTTTTGCATTCTAGGACAAATAGAGACCACTCAGCTATAATTAGAAGTTAATTGACTTACCTTAAAGCCATGATGCATGTAGTGACAAATGACAATTAACAATTTTTAAAAATATGTAAGTCCAATGGCAAAGAAAATTTTTTAACCAGTTTTCTTTTTTTGTACCAAAAGCTCAATGGCCACAGCATACGCAGTAAACGAGGTAGGTAAAATAATAAATCCCTCCTTAACAATTTGTTTAACAATTGTGCACAGCACATAATTTTAAGAACTAAATTTAGAAAAGTGTCTTCTCTAATCCAAATCACTTCAGATACTTACTTCCATACTTACCAAGCTATGACGGCTCATGTTGGTTGTACTATTTCTCCGTCCTCTAACAGTATAGGGTTCAAAAACCGGCGCAAAGTCACTGAAAAGTAATAAAAAGAAAATCATTAATGTCTTCTAATTGAAGAGCTCTTTCAAATATATGAGCATCAGTTCTCTAGTTAACAATGAAATCTTCGAGGGCTCCTCAGTTCATACAGAGAATAAACTCCTCACCGTCCTCTGCTCAGAGCTTCCCAACTGGTATGCTGTGGATTACAGGTTTTCCAAGATACTGATCTCCTCGGTGGCCGGGAGGCAGGCTCTGAGAGGTATGGGGCGGAGCTCCAGACTGGTTGCTTCTAGCTGTTTCTAGTCAGGGCTACGCCCCCCCAAACCGGTTACCACCAGATGTGAGCAGCCTCATCTTTTTACCCCAGAGGACCTACAAGTATTACCATTCTTTGTGTGTGTCAGTACAAGAAAAGGGCTAGGAACCCTGTTTTAACGCATGCGCCTGATAAGCACATCTCCCATTATTGCCCTAAACATGTGTCCTACCTTTGAACCCTGCTGTTCAACTGAATAAACATACCTGAGGTTTTGGTCATGTTGCCCCTTCTGTGAAAATGCCCTTCCTCCTACCACCATCTGTCAAAATCTTTCCTGCCCTTTCACACCCATCTTGAATACCATGTCCTCCATGAAAGAGGCACATGAATACCTCCGTGAATACCATGTCCTCCGTGGCATAAACTTCTCTTCATTCAACAAACCTAATGCAGTCATTCCTCCTTTGACCCCACAGAGTATACTCACTGGAAGATGAAATGCTTCTTGAGACTCCTACTTCACCTCTTATTAAAGTATGCATGTATCTTAAACCCCTTGGTACAGAGGTGTTTTATTCATCTTTGTATAATATCCCTTTAGTACCTAGCAGAGTGCCATGCCTACAATAAGAGCTAACAAGCATTTTCAGAACTGAACTGGATTGGGCTTCCAGACACCACAGAGATCACCTAATTCAGCTCTCCTACTTTTTAAACGAGTAAACAGAGACTCAGAAAGGTTAAATGACTCATTCATGATTATAGCTAGTTATTTAAAACAGGGACCAGGCCTGGTCTCCTCACCTTCTTCTGTCATATCATGCTACCTTTCAAATAATTACTTCAACTGTGACTCAAAAAACAGTATGTTTTTTTCTACAATGGTCTATATGCAGGTTACTAGGATTGCCCAAGTCCCTAGCAATGGCTTGCTTACCAGATTTAAAAGGACAACTGGAAAAAAATCAGTTTCTTCTTAAAGTATCACAATAAATGCCGGCCAAGGACAGGAACAGGAAAGCAAAAAGTCACTGCCTCATTCCCTCCCTTTCAAAATGATAGTTAACAAAAGGAAAAGCAAACCTGTTTCAAAATAGAAGTGTTATCAGCATTTCCAGAGACAAAGATTACTTCTTTCTTCCTCTTCACTGTACTTGATTAATATGTTGTTGGCTACTTCCAGTCCCATCCCCTTTTTGGCCTAATGCCATTTCTACAGGGTCTCACAAATTGGCTCTCTACCTAAGATGAATTGTCTACTTATAAAACTGAAATGTAATAGGCTCAGGAGGTGAGCAAAACTAACCTTCAGGATCACAAGATTCTACCTTAAAATAGACGCTCTGGGGACTTATTCACACGAAAACACAAGACCCTACCACTAAAATTCAAGGGTCTCTTCTCTCCATTGTCTTCTACAACCTGTGTTTTCACTGGTGGCCAGCTTCAGGCCACCCTTCTTTTCTTTTATTCACTAAAATGCGTTTCAGGCAGTTTTAGAATCTGAAAATATTAGGACAAATCTAAATCACTTACTATGATATGAACACACCATTTAATTACAAGTTATTAGATAAACCGTGATTTATTAAAGTAAACCTCTGTTAATGCCAGGGTTCCTAAACTAAGCTTGGAAATAGCTGCTCTTGGAGACAAGTGTCAAGTTGCAAGTCTAGTTCCAGGGGCTTTGGTCTGACATTCCGTAGTGTAAATTAGGCAGAGCAAGCAACCTGTCAGAAGAGCCAGAAGCTCTCTGTAGTTCCCCTTTGAGTGGGACAACATGGCCACAGGTAGAGAGAGGCCCCGTTTTCTCCCACATTGCCCAGAGTCTGGGGTCAAACTTTCATACCACCATGGGACTCAAGTCAGTGTCAAGCAAACAACTGCCTAACCCCTCAGTCTGGAGAGCCCAACCGAGCTTGAACTCGCACTTTAGGAAAGGAAGACTGCTTGCACTGGGTCAAGGAGCCTCTGAACCCCCTACTCCATCCTCCCCAATCCTACTCACCTGACTCCATGCATGAGGGGAGCGCTGTTAGATCTCCTCAGGGTTCCCACATCAGAGGTGTCAGGCTCAAAGTCCAGATCCATTTTCTCCTGAGCCATGTCGAGACTTGCGGGCAGGCGCAGCAGGCAATGCTCAGCTCCTGGTGCTTAGCTATGGACTCCCAAGTCTCTCACTGCAGGACTGAGCTGCTGGGGACTGGCAGCTGGGGGCGGGGGCTAAGGGGCGGAGGCTTGGGGGCGGGGGCTAGGGGCGGAGAAAAGTAAGAGAGGAGGAGGAGGGAAGGAGGATGGTGATGAGAAAAGAAGAGGATGGAGATTGTAGTGGAATGAAGGGAGAGGATGGAGGTAAAAAGAGGGATGGAAGGAAGACAAGGATGGAGGGAGAAAGGAAATGAGGACAAGGGAGGGAAAAGGATAGATGAAGGAGGACACAAAGGATAAGAGGAGGGCTGTAGTGGTAGAGGAAGACGGGCCAAAGGGGACAGAGGAGTAACGGGGCAAGAAAGAAGTACGAGGTATGGGGAAGAGGAGAAAGGAAGGAGAAGGAGGACTGAGGGAGCAAAGGAGGGGGAGGAAACTAGGCAGCAGTGCAACTCATGCTGCTATCTTTCCAGCCAAGGACCACAAGTGGGACCTGGCTACTGATGCCACAGCTGCACAAGTAGCGCTAGCGCTTTAGACCTGACAGTGGGGTAGGACCCGGCGGGGAGGCATCGGCAGCTCCAGCTCTCCATGCTGAGGGACCCGATCCAGGCCCCCATGCTCCAGGACCCGGTCCTGGAGGCTCCTCAGCCCCGGGATCGGTGCTTCTCCCCCCGCCCCCCCTACCGCCTTGTGGACAGGTAGAGGGGTTCGGCCTCTCAGCCGCAGCTGCAGGGCCACCTCTTCTTCCTCTCTTGGGTTCTAAATGGTTCGGGGTAACCAGTTGGGGCCAAGATCAAAATTTACAACCTGCCACCACTTCCGCCTCCTACGCTTCCAAAGCAGGAGCGTTCTAGGGACCAATTCTTCCGCGTCCGGGCACCCTTTGGGTCCTGCGCAAGCGCCCGGCGGTAGCTCCGAAGGGGGCCCAAGACCACGGAGCATGCGTGGGAGCCCCGATCCGGCAACCCGCCTCCAAAGAGGCGGAGCATTTTCGGGAGGCCCGGCCCTTTCCTCTATGGCATTGGCCGGAGTACCCTGGCGCCCAATTTCGAAAAGAACCAGTAGTTTGGAGATGCTGGAGCAGCGGGTATCGGCAGGAGTTTGGAACAATATTCATGGGAAGTAGAGAAAATCATGGGATTTCCACTTTACTTCATTCCCAGGGTGCACGCTCTGACACCTGCGATCCCCGATCATTTCTTAAATCGATCTTCTTGATCTTTGTCTAGAGGGTCCAATTCCTTTTTCAGATCATTCCTTTGGATGAACTACTAGACAAAAGAGAAGGGAAACAATCAAAATCAATGAAGTAAAAATAAAGAGAATCTCATAAGAATTCATATAGATAGTGAGAAACATCTCCATTTTGCAGGCACCGATAGTTTCAACAATATTAGGAAAAGTTCTGAAGAACAGGTAGAATAATTTTATTTTTATTTTTTAAGAACTTACAGTGTCCCTAACAATCATAATCCGTGTGTCTGAGACCTGGAGTTATTTATTTATTTAACAAACACCTACAGCTAGACATTGCTCTAAGAGTTTTCGAAATATTAACTTCTTTAGTCTTCACCATTTAAATGGCTCTGGGGGAGAGAAGGCCATTGCACTGAACTGCAATAGTTAAGAAATTGCCTTCAAAATGTAGCAAAAATAATAATTTTGCCTCTCTCTTCAATTCAGTTGCCCCATATTAAATTTTTCAAGCCCAATTGTAATTTTTTTCTTCAATGTTTATGCTTTCTGCTTGTAATATGAAAGGTTTTGAAAGACTTTGGATAGTCTCCTTTAAATTGCCTGTATTTTTTTCTGCCAGGTATTGAGCAATTTATACTATCTGTTTTTGAGAAATTTATGTATTTTTTTCATCTCAAGGTCTCAGGAACTCTCGATCCTCATCCTTTCACTTCCAGCTCAATAATTGCAATACATTTCTTTGTTCAGACTAGCAACTAAATAATCACTTGTTGAACAGATGCTTGGGCCCTAATTCTGATAAGTTATAAGTAATTGGGTAAAACCCCTAAATTTCAGGAGCTGAACAATTTAGGAGGAGCCTCGAAAGCTGCTACTTTGGCAACCATTTCCAGGGAGATGTGTATTCACATAGATCTTGTCCATCTAGCCTTTTTCACCTTTCATGTAAGTCTTTTGGGAGGTTTGGGGTGTTTGTGGTTGGGAGCTTGGGTTCAACTTGTATTTGACTTGCTCTTGTGCTAACTAAAGGTTAAAGCTTAAAGGTTGTTGTGGTAACTGGTAAAATAAAGAGCTGATTATGACATGTTTGTGGGATACCTCTTATAGATTAAGAGGCCTGGGACAGATAGTAGCAGACTGGAACATATAGAGCAGTAGCATAGGTGTCAAAGTATAGATCTAAGGAAACTAGTACCCCAAGATCATGGCTTATCATTGTGGAACCAGAAGAGCAGATCATGAAACACAGCTTGGTAGGCATAATAATATGTAGATAGAAATGTGGAGAAGTAAAAATGATTTATATAAGTTTTACTTTTGCCATTGTAGCATACAGAATTCTTTGTTTTTGTAATACTTCTTCCTTTTGTTATTCCAACCTGTGTATGTACTACGAATCTTGTCTGTATCTTCACAGGTTTTGGGTTCCTGACATGTAGCTTTTTCTCCAGTTAAAAAGTTCTTCCACTTTGATAATAGCTGTAAAGTTATTACCATCTCATATATTTAGTCATTTCATATTACTACCACTTTTCTTATAAACATAGTCCCTTAGTAGCTTTTTCCTTGTCATTGTATGCTTATTTTCTTAGTGTTATTGTACTTACATTTTAAAAAAATTAAATATCTCTGATGCTTATGCAGGATGGGATTTTGCCTATTTATTCAAAATATATTCATTATACCTTATTACCTACCAAGAATATTAAACTCTAAAAAGTAAAATAAGCAGTAGAAGATCCACTTGTTCACTGGTGTACTCCATATTTTTCTTCTATTCAGATGGTGTGATTTTGACCTTCTGTTCTATCCTTAACCACTGCCTTTTATATTCACTCTGTCTTTACTCAGCCTTAACCACATCTTTTGTAATCTTTCCAGGTACCCTGGGAATTTTAACAGTGGCTTTCAGTAGTTCTTGGTACTAGTTTGATACTGTGGCTACCTAACTATGGGTCATTGTTCTCTTTGGAATTTTATCAGCTATAAAATAGAAATGATTTAACTATTTACAAGATAGTTGTGAAAGACAAGTTATTTTAACCTATAGTTATTCATAGAAATGACTTAATAAGTATTTATTGAATGACTATGAGTACAGAAAGTGTTCGGGAGAATTTTCAGAGACATTTCATCTTTTTACTTAAACAGAAAGGTAGAGGAGGGCTGGGCATGGTGGCTCACACCTGTAATCCTAGCACTCTGGGAAGCCAAGGTGGGAGGATCCCTTGAGCTCAGGAGTTCAACACTAGCCTGAGCAATAACGAGACACCACCCTCACCCCGACGCTCCATCTCTACTGAAAATAGAAAAATTTAGCTGTTTATGGGTGCCTGTAGTTCCTACTTGGGGGTCAGGAGGATCTCTCAAATCCAGGAGTTTGAGGTTGCTGTGGGCTAGGCTGACCCATTGCACTCTAGCCAGGGCAGTGGAGTGAGACTCTGTCTCAAAAAAGAAAAAAAAAAAAGGCAGAACAGTCTGGCCCTGGTGGCTTGCAGGAACTTTGGGAAGCCTAAGTGGTAGGATCACTTGAGGCTAGGAATTTGAGACCAGGCTGAGCAACATAACCAGACTCCCACACTCCCTTTCTAAAGAAAAAAAAAAAGTAGGAAGAGACAAATTATCCCTGGGCATAGTGTTGACCTCCTGTAGTCCCATCTAATCAGGAGGCTGACGTAAAAGGAAGCTTGTGTCCAGGACTTGAAGGTTGTAGTGAATTAATATGAGGCCAGTGCACTAAGCCTGGGTAACAAAGTAAGACCCTGTCTTAAATAAATAAATAAAAAACAAAAGAAAAGAAAAGAAATAAAAAGAAACCCAGAAAGGCAATACACTCTGTAATTGAACAACTCCTCCAGGCTTTGCTTTTCTTCTTTGAAAAATAGGCACTGTGATGGTGCCTACCTCACAGAATTATTGTAAGCATTAAATGTGATCATATATTTAAAGTGATTAGGACAGTACCAGGCACATAATAAGTGCCCAATAAATGGTAGCTATTATTAACCTGTCTTATATCAGGAATGGAGACTCCAAACCATCCTCATGTCTGGGATTTAGGTAATTTAATTCTGCCTAATATAATCAAGTTTTTGTTATTCTATTGCCAGAATGAATGGTTATGATCTTACATGACATAACTTGTCACAAACTATCTCAAGACAACCTCCTTATTTTAAGTACACCACTGATTAGCTGAACAGGGTTGATGATTGAACCAATTGAGATAAGTATGTGAAAACATTTTGTGCTATACCAATATTACCACTAATTTTTTTAAATTTCAGAATATTACAGGGGCGCAAATGTTTTGGCTACATGTATTGCTTTTGTACAATTTGAGTCAAAGCTGTAAGTGTGCCCATCACTCATATAGTGTGCAGTGTACCTGCTAGGTGTGATTTTACCAATTCCCTCCTTCCATGTCTATTTTAATCAGTATCTCTCATTTCACTAGGTTTGTCTTCTCTGCTAGTTCTCTATATGGTTCCTAAAATGTGTTTTTCCAAATTATTAGCATGGAGTTTTTCAGTACTTAATGTGGCTCATTAATTGGTGGTGAAAAATTCTAAGAGAGCAGGTGTTTTTTTGTTTGTTTTGAGACAGGGTCTCACTCTGTTGCCTGGGCTAGAGTCCAGCAGCGTCATCATAGCTCACTGAAACCTCAAAGTCCTTGGTGCAATGCATCCTCCTACCTCAGCCTCCTGAGAAGCTGGGACTACAGGTACGTGCCACCATGCCCAGCTAATTAGAAGTAAGCAGTTCTTAAAATGTTATGAGATATGGCAGCATTGAACGAATGTTCTGGGGTTTGTTTGTTTGAGACAGAGTCCCACTATGTCGCCCTAGGGAGAGTGCCGTGCTGTCACAGCTCACAGCAACCTCAAACCCTTTGGCTTAAGCGATTCTCTTGCCTCAGCCTCCCAAATAACTGGGACTACAGACCCCTGCCACAAGGCCAGGCTATTTTTTGTTGCAGTTTTCATTGTTATTTTAGCAGGCCCGGGAGGGTTCAAACCCACCAACTTCGGTGTATGTGGCTGGCGCCGTAATCACTGTGCTACTGGCGCCAAGCAAAAATGTTTATACCCGCTAATACTACCTGAAATGGAAAAACTGATTTAGGTGGATGCTAAATTCTGAGACATTTGTTTTAAGGAAATAAGCTGGAACTCAAATCTTTGAAAATTAGCTGAGTCCTTTGTTTGCTTAGATGAATAGCTGCGAGAAGCCAGGTTTTATACCATATAAAAATACACACTGTACAATTACAGTAAGAAATGAAATCACGTTGAAAACGACTGGTCTGTGAAATTGGCTCAATTAGGTTAGCACCTTACCAAAACCCTTGGGGTGCAAGTGGATTCTAAATACTTAGGGAGTGTTTTTTTTCTTCTTCTTCTTCTCAGACTTTAGGGTTTTTTAGATTACGGAAGCGTAGTGTGTCTGCTGTTACGGGGGGAAAAATTCGTCACAGGAGGTAACCAACTTGTTGGTCTCAGTCAGAAGGTGATGATGGGCTAGCCCCCTAAACAGAGAAAACGGGGTATTAGACATAGGACAGAAAGGATATTGCTCCCATTCACCTTACTCCTCCAAGCCTCGCCCCTCCCCAAAAAAATAATGGGTAAGGAAACCGTGCCAGGGCTAGTGAAGTAGCAGAGGAGCAACCACGGCGAGCCTACACGAGGAGCACAGAAGGGAGGGCCAAGCAAGGAGAAAAAGGTGGTTCCCTGACTGCGCGCGCTGTTGTCTAGGCTGACAGGGGCTCCAGAACCGAGCTGATTACGGTGTAAACAGTGCGTCTTCCAGGCCGGACTCAAGGCGCATGCGCGGAGGGGCGGGGCCAATAAAGGCGGTTTCTGCGGTTTTCGTTTGAGGCGGAAGCCGTAACCTCGGGGAGTCGCGACAGAGAGAAACGCTGGAGCGGCGAGATTCTCGACGGTGAAAGCTTAATTCTCCGTTTGTTTTATAGGCTTGGAGGTGGGCAGATTTCTCATTTTTGAGGGGCCCAGAGAGTAGGGGATAGGCGGTTTGGAGTCAGTCCTGCCCACTTTGTGTTCGCTGGCGCTAGGGGTTCTCGGGCTGCGAAGGTGAGCACTTCCACTCGTCCAAGAGCTTTATCCTCTCTTCCTTTTTTCCCCTTTGCCTATCTCCTTGCATCATCTCACCAAATTGACGTGCCCTTAAATGAACGGGAGCCAGAAAACCTGGAAAACGTCGAATTAAGCAGTCCCTACTTCCTCAACACCGACATGGCACAGGAGAATATGGACCTGGAGTTGGGGCTGCTTCCAAGTTCGATCACCACAGACAGCAACATCCTGAGAAGAACCAGCAGCGCGCCTCTGATCAATGAAATTAGGTGAGCAAGATTGAGATACTGAAGGAGGTGAGCCGGTGTGAAGGTTGTCCAAGAAAGTGACTTCCCATAGCCTGCCCATCCTTTTATTTATCAAGGTTCTGCAGGTATCGCCCTTGTTCCTGGTGTCCAGAGATCCCACCTTCAGCTTGGGGGGAAGTGGGATGGTTTGACCTGAGGGCGAGCGCGCACCCACCCTGAGGTGGACACCCGTCTGAACCTGAACATCCTCTCCTGATAGTCCACCTGGACCTGAAAGCAGCAACCAATTGGCGTGGAGCACGGCCTTTTTCTAACTTCACCCCATCTCTTATCCACTCCTTCGAAGAAAATAAGACTCCTTCCCCTTTTGCCTCCATATCTTCTGCCAGAACGTTAATTTTTGTCTGTTTTCTCAGCAACTTTGTCACCTCTGACCTTCACCTCCAGCATACTTTGAGATGGAAATAGCTGTTAAGTAAATTAACTTGGGCTGTTTTTACACCTAGTTTTTATTTTAGCAAAAAGTTTAGGTAGCCAGCTACTCTGGAGGCTGTGGGTGGATCACTTGAGCCCAGGAGTTTAAGGTTGCAGTGAGCTACGATGATGCCACTGCATTCTGCCCCAGGGGGACAGACTGAGACCCTGTCTCAAAAAAGAAAATCAAAAAAATTTAGGTAACATAGAGGATTTATCTCCCAAATTACACATTATCAGCAAGTGATTATTTGCCCCAAGGGGGGAGAAAAATGGTTCTTGGGGGAGGTATGAAAAATTTTTACTCTCTTTATGTATAAAGTATAGATAAATTGTATGTATGTATATACAGTATATGTACATGTGCATATGCAGCATGTATATGCAGTATATCTGTGCTTTATACATAGACATACAGGATATATGTGATATTAAAATTTTGTGAAGGGGAACAACTTAGGGGGAAAATGTTTAAAGAGGCTTCATAGAAGGCCAATAATAGAAAAAGTATTTAGAAACATTTTCCTAAAAGATGGTTAATTGTATTTCCTGGACATTTCTGAAAGTCTGGCTTTACTAAATCTTATTTCTTTTTAAAAAATATATTTTGAATTATTATGGATACATTATAGTTCATAATATAGTATCTTTATAAGGTACAAGCAATGCTGATACAGGTATACAATGGGAATTAATCAAATCAAGGTAATTGGTGTTTCTAAAATCTTATTTCTTAAATTAGGATTTTAATTAAGATCTTGGATCTATATCATAAGGTTTTCTAGATATTGTAAAAAATGTCTGAAAAATGCATTCACTATATGTGTTATTAACTTTGCTCCTCACCTTTTGTGGCATCATGCCACTTGATACTTGTAATTCACAATATCATGGACTGTTAGAAAGGGAGTCAGAGACCAGATCTACCTTCCTTGTTTAACATATGAGGAAACTGAGGCCCATAGATCTTCAAAATGACATGGACCTGTGTCTCCTGATTCCTAAACTAGTATTTTGTATCAATATCTAATTTGATAAACTCTTAAACAAATGCAGCCTTTGGACCATTTGAAATAGAGGAGAATATATTGTCACAAAATAAAAAGCAAACTAAGATTGACAAAAAAATACATTACCTTTGTAAACTAGGCAGGTAGAAAAATAAAGGTATGGGACTCTATGTTGTGCTGAGAATAAGAACATTTTGTAAACTCAGGATTTTGCTCTAATCTTATTGTGAGAATAAAAGAATTGTTATGGGATCCACTCTGCTGTTAGAAGAGTGGAGAAGAGGCTCGGCGCCTGTGGCTCAAGAGGCTAAGGTGCCAGCCACATACACCTAAGGTGGCGGGTTCGAATCCAGCCCGGGCCCGCCAAACAACAATAATGGCTGCAACCAAAAAATAGCCGGGTGTTGTAGTGGGCCCCTGTGGTCCCAGCTACTTGGGAGGCCGAGGCAGGAGACTCACTTGAGCCCAGGAGTTGGAGGTTGCTGTGAGCAGTGAAGCCATGGCACTCTACCTAGGGGGACAGCTTAAGGCTCCGTCTCAAAAAAAAAAAAAAGAAGAGTGGAGAAGAGAATGTTGGTTTTATTGGAAGGCATTATGAAAAGAAGAAACAGGTTGTAAATAGATGCTAGAGGATGTGTACTAGGAACAATATGTGAGTCTTCTTTAATGTAGTAAACACTAGGAAGCGGGGAGGCGAGCCCCCCTTCCCCTCATCCTCCAGGTCCTAGAAGCAAAGAGATCTCAGTTATCCCTTCTTACCTTACTTCATTCTGCAAAGGATAGAGGTTTTGTTTTTGTTTTGCTTTGTTGCTTATCGTATTAGAGCATAGTTACAGTGTTGAATTCCATAGCTTAAGATCCTAATACATGAAGTAGAATTTGTACAGAAAAGTGATACTAATATGTTTATCTAGTAGGAGTTAAAGATATAGAAACCACAAAATGGACCAAGTCCAGGGACTCTAGTCCACCAGAAGTAACATAGGAATAATATTTGACATGCCTGAGGTCAGGAAACTTGTCCAAATGATCTGCGGGCATATTGTATGCTGTTGTAGCGAGCTTAGGTTGTAGTCACAGAAGTTTTTCTCAAGCAGGACGAATTTAGGGTAGGATTACACTGAGCCTTAGTTGACTTCATTTCACCTCAGTTCTTTTCAGTTGCACGTGCGTGTGTGCAGGCATACTGCTCACTTTTCTTACTTGCGACTAAAATACGTTTTGCTTCTTTCTAAACTACATCTGACGTTAAAGTGTTCTGTTGACGGCTTGCTAAGTTTTGTGCCTCTTTCAAGTAATTTTCTAATTTTGCTTGATGTTTCTTGTATATAAAGACCCTTTCTTGCACCAATATTTGCAGAATTAAATTCCTTAAACTTGTTCCTTAAATGTCAACTCTTGAATGTAGTATTATTGTTTTAAAGAAGTTCTTGCACTGTTTTGTGTACATCTTGTATTAATAAAAATACCAATGTCAAAAGTTTTGAACCTCTTGGTTCTTTATCCTTTGTAACACTATAGTGGTATGACTTTATTGCTGGTGTTAATAATTTTATTTAAAGGTAGGGTTTTTTCTTCTCTTTCTCTAACTCTTATTAAAAGACTTAGAGATTAGGTTCTTGGATTCCTGCCAGTTCCTCCCATTTTTAAAATCCTCTAACCGGACTCTGTGGGTTTTTTTTAATTATTATTGTTCAGGGTTCATTGAAGGTACAAAGATTTAGGTTGTACTGATTGCATTTGTTAGGTAAAATCCCTCTTACAATTGTGTCCCACCCCCAAGAGGTGTGCCATACACCATGACCTCCCCATCCCCCTTTCCCCATCCCTCATTGCCCTACCCGCTACCTTGTATTAGATCATCTACTACCTTCATATTAGAATTGAGTACATTGGATTCTTGGTTCTCCATTCTTGTGATACTTTACTAAGAAAAATGTGTTCCAACTGTATGCAGGTTAATACAAAAGATGGAAAGTCTCCATCTTTTTAATGACTGAATAGTATTCCATGGTGTCTATATACCATAGCTTGTTAATCCATTCCTCAGTTATATTGATGGGGCTGCAAAGTAATATAACCTTTTTGGAAGGAAGTATGGAGAATCCTTAGAGAACTGAAATTAGACCTCCCATTTCATTCTGCAATCCCATTAGTAGACATCTACCCAGAAGGAAAAAAATCATTTTATCATAAAGACATTTGCACTAGACTGTTTATTGCAGTTTAATTTACAGTTGCCTAAAATCTGACTCTGTGTTTTAACTGTCATTGCCTCTATTCTATTTGAAAGGTAAACTACGGCCTGAGGGCCAGGTCCAGCCTGCCACTTGGTTTTGTAAATAAATTTTTTTTTTTTTT